CATCGCAGAGGACAAAAGGGCACGTGGCGAGAGTTAATACGTGGCAGGAGATGAGAGATGGTTAGGTGTGGTGACAGTTTTTTTGGGCGGGAAGAATAATAATGGCGGGAAAGGGGGACCCAGCAGAGGCGGCTAAATGGCGGGAAAAAGAGAACAGAGGACAGGCACAGTGCTGCTTTGAGCCACGCGCCACCGCTTGCGTGCCCCACTTTCCTTCTTCTTGCTTTATGTCCAAGCTCTTTATTTCTATTGTTTTTTCTCTTTTTTTTTGGAGAAGAAAAATTTCAAAATATATATGCTAAAATAGAAAGTATATACAAAAAAAAAATTATATGACTCACTAATGATTTGTTTAGTTTGGTCTTTATACAAAGCCGACTTTGGACCTATCCGCAAAAATATGGGCTCGTGATTGATACTTTTAACATTTATTTTCGGCCTTCATTTTTAAAGTTAAAGTGGTGTGATGGTACATTACTACATTATAGTAAAAAACATGTTATATTAAAGAAAACAATTGAATTAAATATAAATAATTAAAATTTTTAAAAATGTATCCATGCTTTTAATTATACAAAATAAAAAAATGTATTACATCGTCAGTTTATTTATTTGATGTTTAAAAAAAAAATTTGATCACATTAGATTTATTTTAAATTTTTAAATTAGTTTTGACGATTTATACTATACAAATTATTTATTATTGGTTAAATCGTGTTTAAATAAATAATAAATGATGGTTTAGTTAAAAATTAAATAAATAATAAATAATTTATTAATTAATGTACAAAAACTTTAAACATCAAAACGGGAAAATACTAAAATTTGTGTACTAATCGGCTAAACCTGCTACTATAGTGAACAAGACGTGTTAAATCAATCAGACCTAGTTCAGTGTAATGGTAATTGTCTTGCAAATTTAGAGCAGAGATAATTACACGAAAGTTACTCGAAGTAAAATTAATCATGTATTAGAATGGCTAAAATTATGGCATTACACTGAACTAGTCTTTTACTAGTTGAACCAGAATCTTTATTTATTGTCGAAAAAATAAATATATTTTTGATTTGACGTCTTTTGAAATAAAAGTTGAGGTACGTACGTACGTGCAGTATTTTAAGAGATTAGTGATTACTAATTGCAGAGATTATATGAACTATGAAAAAAATCGCTCTCGGTTGCTTAACTTAGATTGATTTACTACAAATAGAGTTGTCCACATGAATGCATGCTCTGACCTAACACATCTTAGTTAAAGCGGCTTATCACGCACCAAAGGAACATTTGGTAACGTGACCAAACCAAAAAAAAACATTTGGTAACATGTTCATGTTATAAAATATTAATAGTTTGGATTTGGGAATGAATATTGTGGGGGAATACTTTTATGGAGCTCACGTGATAGAGCTGCAGGACCATTAGAGGACATTTCTGCTTCTGCGAACTTGGCAGGTGGCGAAGAGCCGATGCTTCTTCTTTCACCTACGTGGTCTTCCCATGAACCCATATCTTCATCTCACGTGCATCTCACATGCCAGACAATTAGATTCTATACCTAAACCTTTTCATGTTTTAAATATACACTTTTCTTTATTTGTTAGTTATTATTAGGCCTGGGCATTCGGATTTTAAATCGGATTCGGATCGGATATATTCGGATTCGGATAATTCGGGTATGAGAGTTTATTATCCGTTCGGATTTTATGATTTTTCGGTTCGGTTTCGGTTCGGATAATTTGGGTAAGAGAATTTATTATCCGTTCGGATTTTATGAGTCATCGGTTCGGTTTCGGTTCGGATAGGTGTCGGATTCGGATCGGTTTTTGGGAAAAAAAAAACTTAAAAATAGTTCAATGTTAATAAAAATTGGTTTAATCTTACTAAAATTTGGTTAAATTTTGCAAAAATATGTATAATTTTAACAAATATAACTAAATTTTTTCCAAAATCTAGGATATTTAGGATATTTTTGTTATTTGCTATAAAATTACAACTAAATATAACTAATATTTTTGGATATATAATTTTTATTTCCGGTTTTCGGATATCCTTTCAGTTTTCGGTTCGGATCGGGTTCGGTTCGGGTAATTCGGATAGGAGAATTCATTATCCGTTCGGATTTTGTGACTATTCGGTTCGGATTCGGTTCCGGATTTTTCGGATCGGTTTCAGATCGGTTTTCGGATTTCGGGTTTTATGCCCAGGCCTAGTTATTATTACCCACACCGGGTCGTGTTCGTGGCCCTATTAAATTTTGTCACACATCTAGATACTCTTTACCAATGGTGTATGCAATATGAAATTAAAATCTCTGTCTTGGTAAAACAAGTATATGATTTGGTAAATAGAGGTTTATATATATATATATATACCTTAGTACGAGGAAGAAAGAAGAAGACCCAATGTTATGTTTTATGATATATACCTGTTGCATTGTATAAGATGAAATGAAAACTGGCATAAATCACCATATTCATTTTTCCAATCACGGTTATACACATACGTTTACAGTAAAAATAAAAGAAACTGAAAGTATCAATTATTTACCGATATTTGTTTTGTATACAACTTTAACACATAAGTCAATTTTTTTTTTTTTTGTGAATTCCTGATTTCACTATCACTTTTACAAAAAAGGGTATTATGATTACAGTTACGAGTTTGTGTTATGATTGATGATTGATACTAAAACTCGCTTTTAGTAAGATTGAAGCAAACTTAGGAAGGATCTTTTTCATACACGTGTCGCATGTGTCATAAACATTCTTTGCTAAATCTTAGCAAAAATACTATATAAAATTAGCACTTTCGTTCCACCTCTAAATGTTCTTCCTTAAATCGACAGCTTGTTGATTGATTATTTTTTTACTTTGATATTTATTCCACGACCACTTCACTACTTTGATATTGTTTAAAGATTAACAATTTTAAACATTTGAAAATAGAGTGAGTGAAAGTCAAGCCTCACATCATGCATTATTTTGGATTATTTTTGACAACGCTCAATATTTTATATATTCTAATTTTTTTTTTTACTTTTTCTAAATTTTATACTTTGAGAAAAATCTCCTCAATTCGATTTGAAAAGTTAATAAATTTTTGCTTGAAAAGAAAATGGAAAAATTATTCAATAATTAGTCAATATTATAACTACAAAGTCCCTCTTTTAAGTCGAGAATCTAAATTTGGTTTGTTGAGGAAAAAAAAAAAATCTAAATTTGGTTTGTCTTGTCCGTTCCATCCGGGACAACAGAACTATTCGAAGTTTGTAAATAAACCTACATTTTAGCAGTACAACTATAGTAAAGATAACCAATTTCTTTATTAAAAAATTATAACATTCATATTTAAACCATTTTCTAAAGTTATATATTTTTTTGTTTAGCGAGAATTCTTGCAATCTAAGCAGTAAGCACCTCAACGTGTGAGATTTATGCTTAGATTACAACAACTTCTGGTTAGCTCAATTTAATTCAACCAGAATCTAAAACTAATTGTGGCAATCTTTTTTTTATAATATTAAAATCTAGGAAAAAATTAGATTTAGTTAGATTTTTATGAATTTGGCTGAGATATTATTTATAAATATAGTTAAGATTCTTTATCAAAATTGAAATATTTCTAGATATTTATCCAAATATGGTTATATATAAAAGATATTTATCCAAATAAGGTCACACATATAAAAAGATATTTACCCAATTTAAAAAAACATAGCTTTTTAACTTATGTTGCATGGAAACGGAAACGGAAACGTGGAAGCGAAATGTTTCGGAAACGGAAAACGATTTTTTTCTAAAATTAGAGATTGGAAACGTTTTGGAAACGTATACACATATATAATATATGTATATATATAACATTAACATAAAACTATAAAAATAGTTTAATTAAACAATACAAGTCCAAAACATCAAATATTAAATAGGTTAACTAAAATTCAAAAAAAATAAAATTAAAAGGTTCAAGTTCAAATATTTAATTAAGACCAACATTTTCATTCTCATTTTCATTAGTTTCATCGTAGATCATATAAAGATGCCTCCAAATCTAGTTTGTCTATAAAAAGATCTTAAAACTCAAAGTCTTCCAAAATTAGTTATATGTATTATAAATCTTAATCTTTTCAACTTTTATTTATTAAGTTTCCAAAGTCAATATAAAGGATTTGTCGCGTTTCCATTTTAGAAACGTGAGTTTCCATCGTGTTTCCAAACATAGATTTTTAGAAAATGCGTTTCCGTGACGTTTTTCGTATTTCCGAAGAGTTTCCGTTTCCGAAACGTTTCGGAAACGGGAAACGGACCTCGAAGAGAGTTTCCATACAACTTAGTTTTTAACTTAAATAAATATAAAAAATCAGAAAAATTAAAATTCCGAACCCCAAAAATAAGGATTAATCATGTAAATTTTTTTTCTTTCAAAACCTGCACTTTCATTATATAATTTATTTTAAGGCAAAGAAGAGAGTGAGGTACACGCGTTAGGATTCTTAGGCGGGCCATGATAGATGCATGAGTAAGAGAGAGTCATGCGCCATTAATGTATATTTGTCCCTACTTCTTTCTTTATGCCAGCTAATATTTATTTATATGTCTCTTCAAATGGAAATTTTTTTAAAAAAATTTTCTAATACTACCAAATTAACTATGTAACGCAAGAAAAATTGAAGTCAAAAAGAGCCACTACAGTCAAATACTGTTATTTTTGTTAAAAACGGAAGATTTATTTAATTCAATACATTGAATGGTAACTAAATCTTTAAAGTTGGGGTCAGTAAATGTGAATTTTGCTATAAATTAGGAATGACTTGCAAAAAAGGTTATATTTGTTTCCCAATTTTCACCATTTACAGTTTCTTATTGGCTGTTACAAGTTCATGATTATATTCTGTATATTTTATTTCCCTTGTTAGTCGTTTTCTTTGAATTGTTTACTTTTGACCGTCATTGAAAAAAGGGCAAAAAAATCAGTACTAGTGTATGTTAAAATCAGAATATAAAGAGCGTGAAAGCTTTATTATTATTATTCACAAGCAAAAAAAAAAAAAAGAGAGAAAGAGAATCAGAAGAAACTCACCAACAAGGTCATTTTCTTCTTCTTCTTCTTCTTCTTGTGATTTGTTTTATGTTTTTTTAATTTTGCTCATCTAGAGATTTGCGTCGTCTCTGAAGTATTTTGTAAAAACCAAAGCTTTTTTTTTTAATATATAATTTATTTCAACACTTGTTTACTGTTTTTTTCCCTGTGAAATTGTCACGGATCCTTCGTTTTTTTTTTTATATACTCATAACAAAATTATCTCAACCCCAGATTTCTTACCCATCTATCTATCTTCTTCTCTGTCTCTAGGGTTCTGGGTTTTAGCTGTTTGGGTTTTATTTGGTCGTCTCTTGGTTTCGTTTCTCACTGTTTGTTTTGTCTTTTCGAAGAACAGGAACAGTGTGTGAAAAGGTTCGGTTTTTAGGGTTTTCGATCTGAAATATCAACAAGAAAAAAGGCGTTTGTTAACGCTCTGATTTATGTCGGCTGGATTTGAATCGACTGTGATTTTGTCTTTGATTCATATCTCTTCTCCGATTTCATCATCATCGTCTTCTTTGAAATCTGGTCTTCTCAACGCTCTTCACTTCTGCTTTAATAAGCAGAGGCTTGTTCTTGAGACTCCTTCTCTTTCCATGCGCTTAAGACCCAAAAGGTATAATCTTTTTCTTCTTTATCTTTCACTCATCTTCCATTTTTGTACCTTCTCTGATCTGAGATTTTGATTTTTGTTACAGGACTTGTTCTAGTGTTGAAGTCTTTGGGGGTTTTCACATAAAGCAGCAAAAATTTTATTTTTTCATAGTTCGCTGAGAGTTTTGAGTTCTTGATACAAAAAAGTTTTGACCTTTGAGAGTGATTTTTGTTCTTTTTGTTTATCTGGGTATTTTGAGGAGTGGGTTTATTTAACAACAATGGTTGAGGTTAGAAAAGAACAGTCTTTGAGTGGTACTAGTAGCGAGATTAAGAAGAGAGCTAAGAGAAACTCTGTATCATCGTCCCTTCCTCAAGAAACCCAACCTTTGAGAAAAGTCCGTATTATTGTGAATGATCCTTATGCTACTGATGATTCCTCTAGTGATGAGGAAGAGCTTAAGGTTTCTAAGGTTCGGAAAATGAAACGTATCGTTCGTGAGATTAACTTTCCATCTATGGAAGTTTCTGAGCAGCCTTCTGAGAGTTCTTCTCAGGACAGTACTAAAACTGTTAGTAAGAAAGCTGTGTCTGCTTCTCCTGCTTGTCCTGGGTTGTTGACTAAGAAGCCTGTTGGTGTTAGGCAAAGGAAATGGGGGAAATGGGCTGCTGAGATTAGACATCCTATTAAGAAAACTAGGACTTGGTTGGGTACTTTTGATACTCTTGAAGAAGCTGCTAAAGCTTATGATGCTAAGAAGATTGAGTTTGATGCACTTGTTGCTTCTCTCTCTGTTTCTGGAAATGTGTCGACTAAAACTGTTGTTTCTTCATCTGAGACTAGTCAATGCTCTCGTTCTTCACCTGTTGTTCCTGTTGAGCAAGATGACACTTCAGCTTCAGCTCTCACTTGTGTCAACCCTGATGATGTCTCTGTTGCTCCGACTCCAAATGCTCCTGCTGGTGGAAACAAGGAAGTGTTGTTCGATTTCGACTTTACTGATCTACAAATCCCTGATCTTGGTTTCTTTGCAGAGGAGCAACATGACCTAGACTTCGATTGTTTCCTCTCTGTTGATCAGTTTGATGATTTTGGCTTGCTTGATGACATTCAAGGATTCGAAGATAACGGTCCAAGCGAGTTACCGGATTTCGACTTTGCAGATGTTGAAGAGCTCCAACTAGCTGACTCTAGTTTCGGTTTCCTTGATCAACTTGCCCCTCTCAACATCTCTTGCCCATTAAAAAGTTTTGCAGCTTCATAGGATTTTCCTTAATGTTAAAGTGAGAAGAGTGTTTTTTTACTTCGTTTATGTTATAGTGTATTCAAGACATACAAAACTGTGTGTTCCGGAGTAGTAAGATCTTAAGACATAAAGCCGGGTTTTGCAATTAGGAGTTGAGTTTTTATCAAGTTTTAGTTTATATTGAATGATGTTTTGCTGAGTCTGGTTTCTTTTAACTTTGGGTTTTTTTCTTTGTGCTTTAAGAGCCGTCCAAAGTGAAAGAGCTTGATGATGAATCCATCGTCAGTTGTATTACATCATTCTCCACTTTCATTTTTTGTTAATGTTAAAACAAAATATTAATGGAAGAAGTTGTTTAATTTATAAATTTTGATTGTGTTTTTTTTTTGTTCATTGTTCTTATCGCTATAGTTTTGTCATCCTTCAATTTAAGCCCCTACCAGTTGGGCGTTAGATTCTGACGTGTTGCGATTCTAAGAATCTAATGGAAAATGACAAATGCATGAATTTGGTATGGTCACTGTTTCTCTGCTGATTCGCCGCGCCATCACAAAACACCATTATTGTTTTTTATTTTATGGTTTTCAGACGTTTTTAATGCAGTTCATGAAATTTTAATCAATAATGCGTTTGTTAATTACGTTATTGTTTGTTTTAAGAAAGGTTGAATAGTACTAGTAGTGAAAGAGAGTGGGAATTAAAGAAGAGATTGCACGGAAGTGGCAACAAGTCAGGGGTGTGGTTTTGTCAGGTTTACACTTATTATTTTATCAACTCCCAAATATTTATAACAGCTGTATCGCATTTTGGAATTTAATTGAATGTGTTATATAATAAAGAAAGGTTGGTGGTGTCTTGGTGATTGAGAATTGAGGAAAAGTCAAAGGAAGAGTGTTATAGTGTATAGTATTAGTAACAACACTCTCCCACTGCTTTGTGGTTGCACATGCTCTTGTAGTATTCTTTTTTTTTTTTTTTTCTGTACGTACGGGTAAGCATGTCTCAAGCCCGTGATACTTTACTATAAGAACGAGAGGTGGACATGCACATGAAGTTAGAGGATCTTGTGATAAGCTCTCAAAAGACTATATAATAAGAATATATTCATATTCATATTCATACACATAATGAATCCAAGTGCTTTTATCTCAATGAATTGGATTTTGGGTTAAAAGAAAGAGGTGATTTTCAGGTTTCAGCCCACTAGCTTAAAAGGCCGGTTTCACAAGTAGTAGTTGACAAAGAAAACAAACAAGACACATGAGGGCCATTTTCATTATTTATTGCTTGATTTTAAGTGTCCATTATTCAACAACTGAATGAAAATGTTGCAGTTTTGTTGATAACTATGAATGGAGATTTGGTTGTGGCATTGAACCTAAGGGTATAAATAGGCGTCGACGCACACATTGTAAATCACATAGCATAAGAGAGTTTTTAACCAAAGGGTTTCAGTTTTTTCTAGTATAACAATTGAGAGACCTAGTGTAGTGCTGGTATGATTCCAACTGTAACAAGATCAGGGTGATCTAGTAGAATCGTGAAAGGCTAGAGATTTACGGTTGCTTTTCTGAGGTACTGTCCTGAGCTTGTATAAGTTGTAATTCCAATTAGGTCAAACTTATTGACTAAAACCAGCTTATTGAATTAAAAACCAGTTATCACTTGCCAGAGTTCAATCCATTGATATCGATCCATTAATCGACAATACGATGTATGAAAATGTGTATATTTAGAGCAGACCCTTCTTCTGAAAACTGATGATGCAGTCATCAAACATCTCAGGTAGTGACTTGAAGGAACCAAATCCCAACTCATGTATCTTCCTTGTGTCCATGCTATGTGGACTATTGTCCCCTTCTTTGTTACTACACCTGAAAAAAAACACAAAGAATCAATCAACCAAATAATGAAATCTTGGTGAATGTAACGAGAGTGAGATTTATACTTGTTCTCAAATGGGTAATTAGGATACTTGTTTCTCATCAACTCAATGATCTCAGACCAATGAGCAACCGAACTCGAACATATGATTCTCCCTGATGCTTTAGGCTCTTCCATAGCCAATACATGTGCAGCAACCACATCATCTATATGCACAAACCCTACCGTAAAATTCGGATACTCTCCAGCGAGACCTTTGGCAATGGCGAGAATCATAAGTAGAGTACTTGTTGGTTTTGGTCCAAGCAATGGACCAACCACAAATGAAGGATTCACTACAACCAAGTCTAATCCTTTCTCTTCAGCTATCCTCCAAGCTTCTTTCTCACCTAGAGTCTTTGCATATCCATACCAAAGCTGTGAATCAACCAAATCACCAAAATTACAATTAAAGAATCAATATCAAGCAGAGTAGAGAGAAGAAAATGGTTCTCACATTGAAACGTTTGCAGTATTCAGGATCACTCCAATGAGACTCATTGAGAGGAGAAGCTTCCGCGGCATCGAAACGGTACCGTATCGAAGAACAAGAAGACGTAAGAACAATCCTTTTGAGACTTGTTTTGGACTTAGCACAAGAGGTCATCACATTGGTTGTTCCTTTTATAATTGGATCAACCAAAGTCTCTTGAATGTTATGATCCTGTGGAACAAGAACAGGAGAAGCAGTGTGGAAAACTCCATCAACACCGTTCACTGCTTCATCAAAACTTCCTTCAACCGTTAGATCAGCTTGGAGAATCTTTAACCTCTGTTTTGCTCCTTGAAATTCCCATAAAAAACCAACCTTTTCTTCATCACCTTCAATACAAACAAAATCAAATCAAACCCCAGAGATTGAATTGAATGATTTTTGTGTTAGAGAATTGGGAAATTACGTGGGTTTCGGACAGTGGTTCGAACGGTGTGTCCGAGTTCGAGAAGTGATTTGATGATGTAAGAAGCAATGAAACCAGTTCCTCCAGTTACCAAATACTCAGACATGTTTTGTCTCTGCAACGAAATTTGATATTGAAATTGCAGAGAGATTGTGATTAGGTTTAATAAAAGTGAAATTTGTGGATGTAAAAGCAGAGTGGGTGATTCATCACATTCGTGTTCTCTCACTATCATCACGTTGGACATATGATAATTATTTTATTTTATTTCAAAGAAGTGCAGGTCATTGGGCTTTCGAGTTGATTTTCAAAGCCCATTGGTCTTTCCAGTTGATTTTCAAAGCCCATTGGGTTCAAAGCTTTCAAAACTTTTTTTTCCGCATTCTAGAAGTCCATAATACATATGCATGGGATGTAACACACCCATGTCGCATGTGTTTGTGATGATTATCAAACTAGAAGATATAAACGATTCTACTTAATATGATATAGTTCTAAGATGAATTCTTAACAATTTTTATACATCGATCGAAGTACAGTATAACGACTGCGATCAGATTGTTGGGTTTTATAAATTAAGTTTGATTGTGAAAGTAAAAACGTTTTTTTTTTTTTCGATTTTCTGTTGAAAATTTGATTTTGTGATTCTCGCCAAAATGAGATTCCGCAATTTTTGTATAGCTAATGATTTGTATTAGTGTTGTCGATGTGTCATAACTCGAATTCAAATTTAGAGCACTTTTAATGAAGGTTTCTGATAGGGTATCTACAGATTAAAAAAAAAAAAGTAAGAGAGACAATCATAAACGGTTTTCGTTTGAGAACCGCTGAGAAACGTTTCTGATACTTGGCTTCATATGAGTGGTTAAACTTTTTTTTTTATTATTTAAAATTTAAATAAATAACTCATTTATTATAAAAGATTCAATTAATATATTTGAGATACTCATATAATCTCTTACCGTTGAAGATGCTAGTTTGTGTAAGTGAACAAATATATATATATTTTTTTTATCAACCACACATTCATTAAAAAAATAACTCCATGATTGGTTGCAGTCTAGAAGAACGGGTTAAGCAGTCCGCCTTAACATTACATAAACGAGAAATAAGAGAAAGCGAGAAAGTGAACAAATAATTTTATAAAATCACAAATGAGTTTTTTTCTTAGTCATCCTAATTAAAGCTAGGGTTGCGAAAAAACAAAAAAAGTGAAAACATAATTTTAGCACCAGGTGACAAAACCTTATAGTCAAATCATTCAGCTCATTTGCATAATTGATACTCGAAAATAACATATGATAGTGAGAATACTTATGGTCCAATAGTCACAAATATATTACTACAATATTATCAAAATCAAAATCAAAATTAATAAAGATAGTTGGGAAGATGGTCTCCTTAATGATCAATCTTATCAAATACCACCCAATACTATATAACACGTCACTTCATCATTGCTACTTAAACTATTTATTTTTCCTCTAAAATGGGACAAACGAAAAATCAACATTATTTTCAATTCAAGATTCGGAAAATTGTTAAAGATTTGGAAATGAACTTTGATTTTGTAGTAAATGCTTAAGTTCTATCAATAAAACTAAAATATAGACCAAAATCAAAACTCACTAACGCTAATACCTAAAACGGCAAGACCAGAAGACATTCTAGAGTTCATCAAGGAACTCAAACGCTCCTTTTAACTAAAAGCCACATCCAATTAGATTAATTGTAACAACCCGCAAAAGATGAAGGCTATTATAACATAATCTCAATGATAATAAGCAGAATCCGATGTATATTAATTAATCACAAAGATAACCTCTGAAAAGTTTGACCACCCTAACTATAAGTAGCACATGAATTTTAAGCATTAGATAGAGGATCTTCGAAAGCTACCACATCGATGTCTTAGAGGATTTCACTTTTTTCCTACACTTGTTTTATCCCTAATATTTAATCCTCTTCGAATAATTAGGTGATAGAACCGCCACAAGGAGTTGACGTAAAATTTATACGAACAAATACTGTTTCAAAGGTGGTTTGTAGATGCTTAAAAATGTTGTTAGTGAGGAACAAATGTACTAAAACAAACTGCCAAACTAGATTAATTTTTTTGCACACTTTTATTTTTCGTAATGATTTTCTTACAAATATAATTGTATTGGTGAACGCATTTCTACCCAACATATTTCCGAACTAGTTTTTACTACTTTTAGGGCTTATTAGGTAAAGCCAAGAGCTGATATTTTCGTAAAATTGTATATTATCGAGCATATTAAAAATCATAATATTATGTAAATTAGTGTGTTATCAGATACAATAACATAAAATTTGTTAAAAACCTGCAGAACAACCTAACCCACTTGAAGTAATGAAGTTACTATGTCCTCTATGTTTTATAAGAAAATTATGAATGGTGATAAAAAATGCTTGCTTGTGGCGGCTCTACCATTCCAAGCATATTTTGTTAAATCTGCCAGGCCGATGAAATAATTGATTGCGCAGAATCAAAGTAATTCCTGTATAGGTTGTCT